TCTACCTGGGGCCCAGGACCCAGGGTCCTCCCTCTCTTTCAAATGTGCCACCCCGAAGCATTGCCATTGTAAGAAGACTCAGGCTCTGCAGTGACCCGCCCCACTCTCTGTCTCATTAGACCTCTGACCTTGGCGTCTTTATTTTTGTAAAATGTACAAAGCAATGGGCACTCTGAAGCCTTGTTTTGGGGGGGTGAAGAAGACTTTATATGTAAAGCATTGAAGGGCTGGGGGCTCAGTCAGTGTTTGCAATGTTCCCTCCGTCTGCCAGTTCTGTGCTGAGTCACAGGAGACATGGTTATTCAATTAACATGTCTCCAGCCCTGACCTCTTGGCCTACATTTTCCATTTCCTTTAAGATCCTAGCAAGCTGCACCACGATCAGGGAAGAATAGAGCCCATTCATAAACCTGGAGGCAGGAGACTCCACTGTGACATGCTGAGGGCAAGGACTGTGCCACATCCATTATTTGTCCTGGGAGCTCAGCAGTCTCCATAAGTGCTCCGGGAGCTGCAGATGTGCAAGTGAATGACTGCTCAACCCTCTGCTGCCTTCTCTCTTGGGACTCTGGAAGGCTGTTTCCCACCCTGTCCCCAAATTCTTGATGCACAGGAAACACTCATCTTAGAGATGCCAATAGGTGGTTAATTCCTCTCAGCCTCCTCCCCCAGGAAGCCCTCCCAGTGGCATCGAATCTACAACTTTCCCCACCACATTGGGCAAAATCCTCATGCTGGCCAATCTGACTCATACTGGCTTTGTCCACCCTGTGTCCAGGCAGGAATAGACCTGGCCATGAGGGCATGCGTGCCAGGCCTCAGGCTGGGCTCTCCATGGGGGAGGAAGTGGGATGATCAGTGCAGCCTCATGGATTCTCCATTGAGAACCCCTTCCTTTGGCCCCTCTCCCTGATTTTTCGAGGTTCCTTTCTTGCCCTGTCTCAGAAGCCCCAGCCTTGAGTGTCTTATGGCTGATGTCCCAGACCCCCAGGTGTGACTCGTGGCTCCTCCCTGCTGGGACAGGGCTCCTCCTGGACCAGTCACCTGTGTTTCCACCAGGCCTAGCACAGTGCATACAGGAAGGACCCAAACAGCTTACATGAGAACTGTGTGCCTGAAATAGAGCTGGGCCTGAAGCCCCTGGAGAAAGAGTGGTGGTCACGGTGGTGCCTGGATAAGTCAGACAGGGGCCAGGTCCTCTCCAGTGGAGTGGTTTAGGTCGTGCCCTGTAGGAAGGTTAGGGGACCAGGGTCAGAGTCTGGAGTCAGTGTCTACAGGGGGGAGGCCGCCCCTGCAACGAGCCTGGGTGTCACTAGGTACAGGCAGGGCATGATGGCTTCCTAGGGAGATGGAAAGAACCAGCTGTGCTGAAAGCAAGTCCTGGAACTCTTTTAGTTCTGCTTGGTAGAAGCATCCTTCTCCCCCGTTCCCACCTCTGTTCCATCCCCACAGAGAACACCCACAGATAGAGAAGGAAGGCCAAGTGGGGATATGCCCAAACCCTACAGAGGCGGTGGGAGGGTACAGCATGGCACCTGGGAGACGGGCCACCAACTGGAAAATGAAAATGTCTCCCAGCCTGCGACACAGGCTGGATGATTAGCACACAGGGAAAACCATGAGCCAGCATTCTGCAACAAAGCTGGCAGGCGGCCGAGACGTTGATCCCGGGGATCATGTTCCAGAGGGAACACACCCCGCCCCAGGCCAGGCTGGCGCTCGGGACAGCTATTTCAGGATGGGGGGGATTAAGGCCAGAGCAAAAGGAACACGCGTGCACCCGCACGCATGCGCACACCACACGCGTCCCCCACTCTTCTCTCGTCTCCCACACCGGCTCCCCGGTCCTGATCCTTGGCAGCCGAGAGTCTCGTTGCTTGGTCCTAGTTCGTAAGACCATGACACAAGCCTGGCCTGGGAACAGGATGGGAACAACCTACTCACCGTCCGCTCCCTCAAGTCCCCTGGCCTGTGCGCTGAGGAGCCTCTCCATCGCGGTCCCGCGCCCTTCTCCCTTTCCTTCTCTTTCTGTCATCCTCAGCATCGCCTCCCTTTTCCTTGTGCCGTGAATCTTCCCGTCTTTCTCTTCATTGCCCTTTTCCTCCCGATCCTTAGCCCGCCTCTTGTCTCCCTTTTGAATGCTGAGCTGATCCTCTATTTTTTCTCTCTCCTTTTTTTCTTCTCTCTCTCTCTCTCTCTCTCCTTTCTACTTTTTCCTTTCTACCTTCTCTTCTCTCTGTGTCTCTGTCTCTCAACCCATTACTTCTTTCAACATGAACCAGCCATTCATCACATCCAAGACCATGTGGCCACAGCTGGGACCCTCCAGGGAACCACAATAAGACTCCGAAGGACTGTGTCTATTTTAAGAGAATACTAGCAAGCAGAAGCCTGGACAGCTGCTTTTAGATCCATAATAAAGTAAATATGCAAAATACTGTCTCAAACTCTAAAAACCTGCGTTACCTAGGAGAGGAGAATGAGACCAATATAAATGTTATTATCTAATCGTGTAGCAGGTTTGCCATCATAGTGGCTTAGTGGTTCTGATAGTTGACCGAGAAGGAGGTCATTCTGGATGAGAGACTGGAGAGGCTGCCTGGGAGAGGAGAGGAGCGTCACTGCTGCCCTTGGGAATGGCCTGATTTGGCTCTGCACAGAAGTGGGCTGTGGGAAGTTGTCCCCCAGACAAACAATGCACAGCCACAGTAGCGGTCCCTCAGCAGCGTGTCTGGCCCAGGATGGGAGGCCAAGGATGTAGCTAGGAGGGCCACGTCAGATGTGAAAGGTCCAGATGCTACCAGGCTCTGTGAGCAGAACGATCTAGAGAGAGCTTTGGGAAAACACCTGCAATGGCAGGAGCTTGTGAGGGGCAGGAGTGGGGCTGGGAAGATAAGGCGGCTCTGGAAGCTTCTGTGGAACCAAAGTGCAGCTGCCTGATTTACCCCCTGAAGCCTACACAGAGGGGCAGCAGTCAGAGGGTACAAAGGGACAAACCTGAGTGACACCACGGAGGAACAGCTTGCTAAGTGTCTTTGCACCTCTCCCACGGTCTTTGTTTTTCACTCAAATGTCTGAGTTCTGTTTTCCATGAGGATCAGAAACCTTTCTTCAGGGGCAACCCCAGAGCCAGCCTCAGCCCCTGTCAGGGATGTTCTGCTCCCAGTGAGAGGAACCAAGGTTCCATCCTCGTCCCTGGGAACTCCAAGGTGCCTTTCCCCAAGAGGGCCAATTTTTGCAGGCAGCATCTCTAAGACCTTTCCTTCTCTGCAAACCCCACTCCTCCAGTGACCCTGCTTCATGCGTGTTGGCTTGTCAGTCTCAGACTCCCCAACCCTGAGGGGCCACTGCAGCTGTCAGGCACTCTGCCCTCCTCCCTCCTCCCTCCACCACCGTAATACACCCCCAAGCCCAGAGCTCAAGGTAGAGTCAGAGGCCCAGGAGGGGAAATCCAGGGCCTCTCCAAGGACCTGATTATTTCCAAAGACTTGTGCTAATTTTCTGATATGATCCTCACATCTCTGTGAGGCACTAAATCCTCATTACTTTTCCTGACCGATGCATTCTAATTAGATCAACACTTAAAAAAAAATTCACAATAGCCACAGGATGGCTTTCCATCTCATTAACTCCTCACTTATTATTTTCATGAAAATTACTGATAAAAATGTGCATCTCCATTTGGTGAGGCCTCACAGCCTCCTCAGCTCCTATCTTACATCTCTCCCGTCACCGGGGCTGCGCAGCGTCACCATGGTAACTCACAATAATAGAAACTAATAAATTACAAACGAGATGCTCGTTGAACAATTATTGTCCTCTTTTATGCAAGTTTCTTGCTAATTTTGATCATAAGGGAAAGTACAATAAGACTCTGAAGGAATGAGTCTATTTCAAGAGAATATTAGCAAGCAGAAGCCCGGGCTGCTGCCTTTAGATCTGTAATAAAGTGATTTGGTGATTCCAGGCAATAGGAAGAGGAAATAAACTTTTTGCCCGGTGTCTATGCACACTACGCACTCCCGCACCCCACAGAGACCCTACTGGGGTGGGTTTGATGTGATGCAAGGTGGAGTTTCAGGTCTTAATGTCACAGTGGGTGTGACTGGCTGCTTCTTCCCTAGCAGCCTGGAGGTCCTTACAGGGCTTACAGGGATAAGACCCGCACAGCCTTCCTTGAGCATCTCTCTTCCCACCTCTTACCATTCATTCTTAGAACGTTTCCCACATCCCCACACCTGACTGTCTAGTGAGAAATCACTTCTGTAACTTCTCAGGGACCTCTGAAGATGTTCTGAGCTCAGGAACTCAGTGAAAGGGAACACGGGGTGAGCCCGCAGCATGCATAGATGCCAGGGCATATGGTACGAACGTATAATCAGCCACTTCTTAGCTTATTGGTTTGAAGAAAGCATTTTGCTCTGGTGAGAAGGAGTGCATGGGCACCATGTCCTTATTTCCAGTGCCTAGGATGTGGCAGCTCAGTCTTGGAAGGGGTGCACTGAGGTCACATTTACAGTGGCCTGCAACCCTAGGCAGACTGGGCATCTAGAGAACGATCAGGGAAGAACAGTCCTGTGGAAGCTGTCTTCATTTGTGAAGAGGGCAGGCTTGGGGGAAGGACCTAAGCCTCTCTTACACTTATAGAAGTGCAGACAGCTCACCTTTGAGGCCTGCCAAACAGAGGCCTGTTGGCCAGAAGGTCTAGGCTGATCCCCAGCTCCTACTCTGAGTGAGTACCCTATGTCTTTCATGCCGGAGCTTACTCAGCTCTCGGAAGATCTTGGATCAGGAGGTCAGGAACTGTCCCTTTGAGATTTGGTCATTGTTTAAGGGACACTGGCCTCTGGTAGGGGAGATTGCACTGCTCAATGGATAGAGGAGTGGGTCAGAGGTAAAAGCATCCATTAAGTTAAGTCCCTTTGCCTAGGTCACCAGGGGACTCTCTGACCTTCCTACACACCTGGCTGAGGGAGTGAGGACCCAGCCCTGTGTGTTACCTGTGAGTGAAGGTTTATGGAGGGTTGGTTGGGGGAGTAGGGCCCCCCGAGGTCATTCCTGAGCAGGTTATCACTGTGCATCTTGGTTTTGAGGCAGGTGATGTAACGGTTGCAAAAGTCCTTGCAGAGTTCATTGACTTTCTCCAACTCCAGCAGGTGGATCCTCAGCACCTGGATTGCCTTCACCATCTGCGGAGAGGGTGGAGAGGTCAGCCCAGGGCTCGCACCGCATCCCCCCACTGCCCAGCCCCCCAGCCCAACCACAGCCAGGGAAAGCAGCCCGTCTCCTGCATCTCCTGTGACTGTAATTCTTGACACAGCCCTTTGCTGATTCTCTGTTTGCTCTGAGTCTGATGCTGTCACACCTGCCCTTGAGGCCACTGTGGCATTCTGAGAGTGGACCTCAGAAGCAGAAGCCCAGTGCCTGCCATTTATTAACTGCGTGGCCTTGGGTGAGTTGTTTAGGTTCTCTGCGCCTCAGTGCCCAAGGAACTGGGGACAATTACATTCTCCTTAATAACTACAAGTTTGTTGAGAGGATCACATGAGGGGACACATGGTGGCAGGCTGCAGAGTGTGAGCTGATAAGCACAAGAGGAGATTAAGATCAGAGCTTCCAGGAGTGGCCCACGAGGTCAGGGACTGTCCTTACTCTCGTGTCCCAAGCACTCTATGGGCTGTGGGCTACGTTGCGGACGCTCTGCTGATAGCTGCTGACTGATTGAGTAACAGCGGGGCTCTGGTATCCGTGTGGATTGTTCTGTGCACCTGCGACCTCTTCATAACAATATTCCAAGCCATAGCATTGCAAGAAGCCACTTTGCAATTGAAACTTTACTTTTTGTTGTGTTCTTTTCATTGAAAAACAGTACAGAAGAGGGCGAAGAAAACTATCTCTGACTCAGCCACTTGAAAAGGGCTTTTTGTTTTTTCCATATACGTATTTTTAACCTTTCAATAAGCTTGTAATACAATATTAGTCTCAATTTTTCCTTCAGTTTATCAACTCTGCCTATCTAAATGAATTGTTTTCTCTATCCTCTCTTCTCTCTTCTAAATTAAGAGCTCTGAGAAGGCAGGGGTGAAGTCTGACCTGCTCACTCTGTTATGCTCAGTATCAATACACATGAATATGAAATAAATGTTCATTGGATGGGTGAAAATTATTGAGTAAAGGTATTGCCACATACCACATACCACTCCATATGTGTGTGGTACTAAGCTTGTCTCATATGACTAGGCATTTAGACTATTCCTGATCTTATGAAAACAAAATTTCAGTGATGATTTTCTAAGTTTATGGTCCTCCCCACCCCATTACCGCATTATTTCCCTAGAATGAATTCTCAGAAGTGACAGAGAAAAAGCTACAGACATTCTTAGGGCCCATTATAAATAATGCCGATCTGTTTTTCAACAGAGGCTGTTCAAATGATGCCTGAACAACTGGATATTCATAAAAAATAAAAAAAGAACCGATGCTTTATTTAAACCTCACATTATTAAAAAAAACTCAAAATGGATCAAAAGCCTAAACATACACAAAACTATAATACTTTTAGGTAAAAAACCAAAACAAACAAAAAACAAAACACAAGCAAATCTTCCAGATTTTGGGTAAGGCAAAGAGGTCTTAGACTTGACACCAAATATATGATCTAGAAATGGAGAATGATGAATTGGGCCTTGTTAAAATTTTAAATGTTTACTCTTCACCAGGCCCTGTAAAGAGGATATAAAAACTACAGATTATAAGACAATATTTGCAAACCACCTATTTAACAAAGTACTTGTATCCAGAATATGCAAAGAACTCTCAGAACTAACCAGTAAAATTATAAGCAACCCAGTTAGAACCTGGATGAAAGACATACACAGACATTTCACTGAAGAGGCTATGAAATAGCAAATAAGCACATGAGAAGATGCTCAGTGTCATTAGCCATTAGGAAAATGCAAATTAAAACTGCAATGAGGTATCACTGCAAAAGTCAGTGGTACCCTAACTGCTGGTGAGGAACTGGAAACCAGATCACTTATGCTTTGCTGGTGGGAATATAAAATGGTGCAGCCCCTCTGGAAAATAGTATGGCAATTCCTTCTTTCCTCCCTCCCTCCCTCCCTGCCTCCCTCTCTCCCTCCCTCCCTCCCTCCCTTCCTTCCTTCCTTCCTTCCTTCCTTCCTTCCTTCCTTCCTTCCTTCCTTCCTTCCTTCCTCTTTGAGACAAGACCTCCAGTATATACTCCCAGTATAGTTAGGCTGGTCTTGAACTCTGTGTAGCCCAGGCTGGCCTTGAATTTAAAAAATCCTCTTGCCTCAGCCTCCCAAATGCTGGAGTTGCACGCATGCACCACCAAGCCCAGCTGTTCCTTACAAAGTTTAGTTAATATGTGCTCACTGTATGACCCAGCAATTATACTCTTAGGCACTTACTCCAGAGAAATAAAAATGTATGTTCACACAAACACTTGTCCATGAATGCTCAAAGCAGCTTGATTTCTAATAGCTCCAAACAACCCAAATATAGTTCAACAGGTGAATGGAAAAAGCATCTGTGGAGACTGAAATATACTGAGGATGCATAAACAAAAAATTATTACAATAAAAGGCACATTACTGCTGATCCCTCTCAAAATATTTCCCCCTCGATTTGAACACATTTATCTCACTGTTCTTGCCATTTTTTGAAGCAGCTCTGAAAGTCTCTTTGATGAGTCTATGAGGTATGATAAAAAAAAAATGGTGGACGCTGTTGCTGAGTGCCATTCAGGGGAAGGCAGATTCATAAAACACACAGCGTGTCCTCCTCCACCTGCTTCAGTGGAGACGCCCCGGGCAACTTCGGTGGAGACTCCACGGAAGGCAAAATGATCGTGAAAGGTAAATATGTTGAGCTGATCTAAGGCATCGAGGCAGCCACAACAGTGTAACTAAGGACCCCATCACAGAGGATTTCCAGAACTTCTTCCAGAGGGGGCAGGACCGGTGAGGGTTACTGATAGCAATACGCTTTTCACTGTAATAAATTTTAAAAATTTAAACAGTCACCTTATTCTTTGATAATACTTTGACTTAACAATAAAAAGGAATGAACTATTGATACGCTCAACAACTCGGAGATGTCATAAGAGAATTATGCTGAGAGAAAAACCAATCTCAAAGGATTATATACTATAGAGTGTTATTTATATAACATTCTTGAAATGACAAAATCATAGAGATAGAGAATGGATTAGCGTTTGATGGGTGAGCTGGAGGAGGGAGGAGCTGTCTTATACTTTGACTATAATAGTGATGATTGCGTGAGCCCACATGTGATACAACTGCATAGAACTAGACACACACACACACACACACACACACACACACACACACACACACGGTACATGCAACAGTAATGAAATCTAAATAAGGTTGGTGGATTATTCTTGACAGTGAAAGGTGCTATGGTTACACAAGAAGAGAATTAAGGTCTTTCTGTATTAGTTCTTATATTGCCTGTGTATTTATAATTGCATCAAATAAACAGTAAAATGATAACCAGGTATAGTGACGCATGCCTGTGACCCCAGTGTTTGGGAGGCTGAGGGAGGAGGGTAGAGAGTTCAAGGCCAGCTTGGGCTACACAGTGAGTTCCAGGCCAGCTTGGATTATGTAGTGAGCCCCTTTCTTAAAAAAAGAAAAAGCGAGGATTTATTGTAAGGACCTCTCCAGTTATGTTGACCAAGCAGTACATGTGAGTATATTTAACCCTAACTTCCTAGCTTTTTGCTACTATTTTGATACTTAAGGAGGAGTCTCAGCAGAATGGAAAGGAAAGAAAAAAAAGGAAAGGAAAGGAAAGGAAAGGAAAGGAAAGGAAAGGAAAGGAAAGGAAAGGAAAAAGGAGAGCTCTGTCTGAGCTGAGGCTGGAGGCCAGTGTGACAGCTTTCTTTGAGCTTCTCTGGCATTTCAAGTTGAGCTCCCATAGCCCTGGGCTGGACTTGCAGATCGTCAGATGGGCTCAACTAGCTAAGAGCTTTTGAAGCGCTAAATTAGACTCAGTGCCACTCAAAGACAGAAGCTAACAATCATGTGACTTGATACAGGGCTCAGGTACAAGGCCTCATCCGTGGAGAGCCAGCGGACCAGTTCTAGAGGGGAAAGTTAATGTGGGCCATTAGACCAGAAAGTGAACTAGGTACTTAAAAGAGATCTGCTTTTGCTCAGGTTTTCTACTTGACTTTGACCACGAAGGTCTTGGCTTATGTCTCCCAGAACGATCTGTGTACCGTAAGGTGCTGATCAGACTTGTTGGTGAATTGATAACCACACCCAAGTGTTTCTGAGTCTTACTATGCCTCAGGCACTGGGCTTAGCCTATTCCATGCCCATCTCATGAATTCTGCAGGATCACGTTGCCTGTATTTTACAGCTGAAGAAGATGAAGTAGGTGCCGTACAGAACTACTCGGTGGTCTCACCCCCGAGTTGGATTTGCTTCACCCTCAATATGGACTCAGGACTTGTACAGCGGTATAGGAAGCTGCAGTCTAAAGAGTGCCTGGGCTGGGAGGAAAGCTCAGTGACAAGAAGTATGGGATACTAATCCCTTTGGGGACATTAAAGGTGAGGATTTCTGGGATCCCTGTGGTCATGTTCCCTCAGTGGGCAGTGCCATTTCCCATCTCTCCGCACTCCAGAGCTGGGCACGCTTTCCTGCACAAGTGATTGGTTCTTGTGTGAAGAGATGGGCGATGTGGGTGATTCTCTAAGCATAAGCAGGACCTTTGTCCTCAGCTCCTTTGCGGGGCTGGGAGGGGCCTCACAGGATGATCCAGGCCAGGGCAGGGGGAGGGCAAGGACCCACAGCCCTGCTAGGCTGCGCCCGTCCCTGGGACAGGGCTTTGGGCCATTTCTGTTTTCCCAACCTGCTGATGAAGAAGCTTTCCTTACATTTAAGCAACACCTCTCCTGCCTCAATGTGCAGGGTGTATCCCACCTTCTGGGGCGCCAAGCACATCCATCGCCTCCCTAATACAACTTCCCTTTAAACAAAGTTGCACAATCAGTTTTTTCTTCTCCAGCTAAAAGTAAACCTGCGGGCTGGGGATTTAGCTCAGTGGCATAAGCACCTGCGTTGCAACCAGGTGGTTGTGAGTTCGATCCCCGGTACCGATAAAAGAAAAAAAAAGTAAAGCTAATTTCTTA